GAATAGCACGGTTGTGAAAGAACTGGCTGATGTAATTAATGAGTCACTGTCAGTGACCTTTGAAAGAATGTGAGGAGCAGAAGTGCTACAGAACTGCAGAATGCCAAGTGTCCTGATTTTTTTTTTAAGGGAAGCAAGTAAGAGACTACATAGCTTCTGAGATCTCTTCCAACCTTGTTATTCTGTGATATTCAACTCTTATTTTGCTTTTTTTTTCTACCAAGAAGAATGATAGAAAATGAAAGAATAAGAATGGTTGACAGAGGATTGAAAGTCAAAATGAAAAACTAGAAAGAAGTCTGGCAGAAGTTAAGTTTAGATCAACATTGACATAATATTTTATTATTAATTCAAAATAAATACGTGACCCAAATGTTAAAGATCATGCCATTAAAAAAAAATTAAAACAGAAGCAGACCTTTCACAAATATGGGCTAAAGTTTGATTCTTAATCAAAGATTAGAGGCTATTATGCAAAATAAAAGCAATATCAGTGATACTTGAAATTGAAAAGCTTCTGCACAAACAAAATTAATTCACATAGGATAAGAAAGGAGAAGTCTAATAAAAAAATCTTTGCATCAGATTTCTCAGAAAAGGATCAAATATTGAAGCTATAAAGCTACCATTAACATATATGTTCATGTAACACACGTGTATATGCACATACACACATACGTGGTCCCAAAAGTCTTAGTGTGGTTTTAAGCTTGATATATAGATTTTTAATCTATGTACCAAGCTTAATGGAGGCAGCTAGATGGCTCAATGGATAGAGTGCTGGGTCTGGAGTTAAGAAGACCTGAGTTCAAATTCAGCCTCAGACACTAGCTGTGTGACACTGGGCAAATCACTTAACCTCTTTTTGCGTTAATCCACTGGAGAAGAAAATGGAAAACCACTCCAGTATCTTTGTCAAGAAAATCCCATAAGCAGTATTGTTGTGCTTTGGTTCATGGGCTCATGAAGAGTCAGAAATGGCTGAACTGAACAACAATAATAATCAAGCTTAATGTACACCATAATATACAAATAGCATATTAATTTATTGTATAATACTATATATGATATATATTCATATATTATATATAAGAAGATATTATTTTCTAATATTTTATGAAAGTTTAAAACTGCACTGTCTTTTGAGAACTCAGTTATCTGTGTCTATATATATGTACGTGTGTCTATATATATATATAATATATGTGTCTGTATATATATATATGTATATATATATATATTTATTTATTTATATACACAGACACATATAGATATCCCCAACAGTTATGTATCCCAATAGATAAGTAGTCAAAGGATATTAACCAAACAATTCCCATAAAAAGAATCATATCATCAATTATGCCCCATCAAGCCACAGCCTTGGATCATTCAACCATTCACCACCTTCACTCGTATACAAGTGCTTCCAAATGAAGATAGAGAAAATCACATGATAGTTTTGAATGGATCCACTACAAATTTATATTATACAACCTCAACTGGACCCTCACTGCTGTTAGGTAATCCTACAATACCTCCCTTATTAACTCACTATCTAACTCTCCACAATGGCTCTCATGTTAATACTCTCTTCTTTCTAGGTTTTTTGGACACTACTCTCTCCTGATTCTCCTCTTACCTATCTAACTGCTCCTTCTTAGTCATTTTTGCTGGATCTTCATCCATATTATACCACAGGGTTCTGTCCTGGGTCCTTTTCTCATTTCCCTGTACAAAATTTCATTTGGCAAAGCTCCCATGGATTTAATTGCCATTTCCATGCTGATGATTCTTAGATCTACCTATCCAGCCCCCAAAATCTCACATCTCCACCTGCTTTTCAGACATGTTGAATTAGATATCCAGTAGACATCTTAATATGACTCTATACGACCAAAACCAAACTCATTATCTTTCCCTCTAAACTACTCCACCTCCAACTTTTACCTTCCCTATTACTGTAAAAGGCATCCTTCTAGTCCCTCAGGATTGCAATCTGGGTGTCATCTGGACTCCTCACTATTTCTTGCCCCCAATATTTAAGCTGTTGCTAAGGTTTGTCAATTACACCTTTTCAACATCTCTCTGATACTTCCCCTTCTCTCCTCTCACACTACCACCACTCTTGTGCAGACCCTCATCACATCATGCCTGGATTGTAACAACCTGATGGTGACTGTGCCTGCCTTAAGTCTCTCCCCTCTATTCAACCAGTAAAGCCTGAAGCACAAAACTAATCATGTCAACCTTTTACTCAATAAACTATAGTGGCTCCCTATTGCCTCTAGGATCAAATACAAAATCCTTTGTTTGAAATTCAAAGCCCTTCATAACTTAGCCTCCTCCTACCTTTCCAATCTTCTTTTGTCTTACTCCTCACATGTCTTCTTTGATCCACTGACTCTGACCTCCTGGCTATTCCACAAACAAAACACTCCCTCTCTCTTTTCTGGGAATTTTCTCTGGCTGTCCCCCATCTCTAAGTCCCAACTAAAATCCCACTTTGTACAGGAAGCCCTCCCCTATTCCTCTTAACTCTATTGCCTCCCTTCTATTAATTATTTCCTATTTATTCTATATTGAGATTGCTTTGTATGTTTGTCTCCCCCAGATTGCATACTCCTTGAGAGCTTAGTATTCCCAGGACTTAGTACTATGCCTAGAACATAATAGGCACTTAATAAAAGTTTATTTATTGAATGACTTTTAACAAACATATGAAAGAACATACCAAATTACTAACAAGAGAAATACAAATCAAAAGAACTCTGATCAAAAAGAACTCACCTCACATAACTGGGTGGTGCAATCAATAAGGTATCGGACCTGGAGTCAGTAAGACCTAAGTTCAAATCTGTCCTCTGATCCTTACTAGCTATGTAACCTAGGCAAGTAATTTAACCTCTACCTTCCTCAATTTCCTCATATGTAAAATAAGGCTAATAGCATCTACTTTTCAAGGTTGCTGAATCTTCATCTGGAACAAGCTCACTAACTTTGGGTATCCTCCAAAGCTCTATCCTGAACTCTCTTCTCAACTTTTTCTATACCATGTCATTTGGTGATCTCATCAGCTCCTGTGTTTCAACTATCATCTCTATGCATATGGTTCTCAAATTCATTTTTCTAGCTCTAACTTCTTTGCTGACCTCCATACTCACATCTCCAACTACCTATTGGACATCTTGAACTGAATGTCTTATGGACATCTTACATTCAACATGTCCAGAACTGAATTAATCTTTTCCCCCAAATTCTTCTCTCTCTCTCTCTCTCTTTTTTTTTTTTTTTTTGGTGAGGGCAATTAGGGTTAAGTGGCTTGCCCAGGGTCACACAGCTAGTGAGTGTTATGTGTCTGAGGTCATATTTGAACTCAGGTCCTCCTGACTTCAGAGCCCTTGCTCTATCCACTGTGCCACCTAGCTGCCCCTAAATTCTTCTCTCTTCCTAACTTTATTTTCTTATCAAGGGCATCACTATCCTCCCACTCATCCAAGCTCACAACTTAGGTATCATCCTAGACTCCTCACTCTCTCATTCCTCCATATCCAATCAGTGCCAAATCTTGTTTTCTACCTTTGGAATGTATCTCGTACACACTGTCTTCTCTCCTCTCCTCTGACACTGCCACTATGCAAAGGACTTTGGCATTTCATATCTGGATTATTGAAAGGGCATGCTTTTTGTTCTTTCTGCCTCAAATCTCTCCCCACTCCAATCCATCCTCTATTCAGCTGTCAAACTGGTTTTCCTAAAGTCTAAGTTTCACCATGTCACATCTCCTTCCCATTCCATCTGCTCCAATGATTCTATTGCCTCTGGGATTAATTACAAAATCCTCTAATTGACTTTTAAAGACCTCCATAACCTGGCTTCTTTCTATCTTTCCAGTCTTCTTATATCTCCTACCCCTTTTATACCTTGCACCATAGCCTCTGTGATCCATTGATACTGGCATCCTTGCTATTCCTGGCACTAAACGCTATCTCTCAATTCCATGCATTTTCACTAACTCTACCCATGCCTGGATTTCTCTTCCTCCTCATCTCCACCTCTTAGTTTCCCTGGCTTCCTTCAAGTCTCAGCTAAATCCATCTTCTGCAATAAGCCTTTCCTGATCCCTTTTAATGCTAGTGCCTTCCTTCTATTGACTATCTCCAATATATACTCTATATATCCTGTTTGTACATAGCTGTTTGCAAGTTATTTCCTTCATTAGACTGTGAACTCTTTGAGAGCATGGATTATATTTTAGTTTTCTTTGTATCCTAGTGCCTGGCACTTAATAGGTACTTAATAAGTGCTTGTTGATTGATTTACATTTGTTCTTCTAATTAGATTCAGCAGTGTTCTAGCCTGTTGAAAACTATCTGAATCCTGCCTTACAAGTGCATTAGAAACAGGAGATGTGCAAATGTAGAGACATCTCCATTCCAAATGTTCATATGGACCATTTGGGCCTGAACTGTAGCAAAGCCTTCCAAGCTCATATTGGTCTGATCCAGGGGTGGGGAACCTGTGGCCTTGAGGCTACATGTGGCCTTCTAGGTCCCTGGGTGTGGCCTTTGGGCTGAGTAAATTTTACAGAACAAATCCTTTTATTAAGGGGACTTGTTATGTGAAGTTTGGATTCAGTCAAAGGGCTGCACCTGAGGACCTAGAGGGCTATATGTGGCCTTGAGGCCACAGGCTCCCCACCCTAGCAGCAGTCGGACCCACTGTACCTTGACCCCAACTTAGTGATGTTATTTTGGTCCTTTTCGAAAATCAAGGACAATGGGGCAGCTAGGTGGCACAGTGGATAGAGAGCTCCAGCCTTGGAGTCAGGAGGACTATAGTTCAAATCAGGCCTCAAACACTTGACACTACTTACTAGCTGTGTGACCCTGGGCAAATCACTTAACATTGATTGTTTCACCAAAAGAAAAAGCAAAAAAAAAAGAAAAATGAAGGACAACAACCACTACCAGTTATTCTTCTGTGCTTTTTGTCAGCTACAAGTTTAATAAGCATGTCATTTATTTTTTACCAAATCATGAATAAAAAAATCTTATATAACACAAAGCCAAGTACAGGTACTTGAAGGCACCTGCCTTCAAACTGACATGAACCTGTTTTCAAGATTACAACCTGCAGTTATATGGAGTTGTTACATAGAGTTGTTACATCAGTACCTAATGTAATATGTCACGGATAAGCAATAGACTTGGCCCAGAATTAAATAGGATGAGGATAGCTTGCTGGATTGTATTGGGGAAATTTTTTAAGTACTTTTAATGACTCCAGGCTTGTGTCTGAATCAAAGATCTGCCTTTTTAACAACAAAAAAGTTTGGTGATGCTATGTGGCAGTGAATGATGAAATACCATAATCCTCTAGGAATTAAAGTTGTGGGACACCCAAAGGACACTGGAGAGATTCTCTCCATTTCTCTATATTAACCTATCCAGATTTGGGTGTTAGTCATGTACTGGCCTCCAAGTCATTTCCCCTCCATTCTCAAAGAGTATAGTAGCTGACTCAGTCTTCTTTTTCTTCACTCCACCCTCTGCTCTCATATTGAAGACTTTAATATATATGTTGATGTCCCTTCAACTCTTGAGGACCCAGTCTTCACCATTTCTCTGTTGCCTTCTTCCAAAGTTCTGCAAAGGTGGAAGAGGGAGCATTTCATTCTTCTGCCACCCAAAGAATTTAAGGGGCCCTAGCCATTGATCGTGCTTGAAACATACAAACTTTCTTTCCCTTTTAATGAAAAATAAATATAAAAATATACAGTAACAATTATTTTTTTGTTGTTTTGTTTAATGTTTTCAGAGAACATACTTTGTTTTTGGTGTATTTGGTTGTGTTTGCTTTGTTAAAACAAAATTTATCAATAAAAAAGAAAAGAGAACATAAGGTAATAATCAAAACAACGCAACATACAGGAAGTCTCTATTTTCTGCTGCATTTTTTTATGGTCATGCTAGCTTCTATGGAACTGGTTAGATATAAACTTGCTGTTGCTCTTTATCACTACTTACAGGGAATGTTGTTATTGAATTCAGAGACAGGAGAGTAAATTTCATATAATTTGGAAATCTGACAGACGCTTTGCCTTCAAAATGAGTCACTATAAGAGAAGATTCTGGGAAAATTGTGGAGTAGGTCAGAAAATTCCAGGCTCTCCAGATTTTCCTTACAAATAGTGCCTCAGGGTTAACTTAGAGTGCTAAAAATAAAAAAAATTAAAATTTAAAAAAAAAGAGCTAGGGCAGAACAATGGACCTCCTGGGACAATCAAAGAAGATGAAGAAAAATCCCAGGACTGAGGTTTAGTCCTTGTGAAGAATAAACACATCTAGGCTGGTTCCACTGAAAGAGCAAGTGGCAAGGCCTGGGGCTAGCCAGGTTGAGAGACAGCCTCAGCCCCAGCCACAGGAATTTTTACCTCCAGGACAGTGTGGGGAGTCAGGCATCTGAGCCAGGGAAGATTAAGAGAATCTTCTGTTGATAAGGAACACCAGACCCAGCTATGCTGCTGAGATCTGGCCCTGGGCGAGAAGGAACCAGCACAGGCCTGGTGAGTGCAGAAGCAGCGGAGCAGGGACACTGTTGGCTATGGGCACTTACTTGTTCTTGGTTTCTGTTCCAGGCCAGAGGGGAGTACTGAAGGAAGATCTAAGGCTGGAGGCACCATCCCCCATACCCCAGGACTAGAGGTACCACAATATAATAAGTGGCTACAAACTTTAAAAAACGAGCAGGCAAAGGAGAAAGAATCCAACTGTAGAAAGTTACTATGGAAATAGAAAAGACTGGGGTTCATCTTCAGAGGAAGATACTGAAGCAAAAAAAGCCTCTTCTACCTCAAAGAATAGTGTCAAATCATCACCTGACCAAAGGGAAGACTTTAAAAATAAAAGAGAGAGATTGATAAAAAAAATTTTTTAAAAAAAGAACAACCCAAGAAAAACAAAAAGATTATGAAAAAAAAGTCAATCAATTAGAAAAGGAGATCCAGACTCATAAGGAAGAAAATGACTCCTTGAAAATTAGAATTGGGGGGCAGCTAGGTGGCACAGTGAATAGAGCTCTGACCTTGGAGTCAGGAGGACCTGAGTTCAAATCTGTCCTCAGACACTTGACAGTTACTAGCTGTGTGAACTTGGGTGAGTCACTTAACCCCAATTGCCTCACCAAAAAGTAAAAAAAAAAAAGAAAAAAAATTAGAATTGGGCAAGGGGAAGCCAGTGAAGTTATAAGAGACCAAGAAATAATTAAACAAAACATAAAGAATGAAAAAATTGAAGAGAATGTGAAATATCTCATAAGAAAAACAATGGATCTAGAGAACAGATCAAGAAGAGAAAATACTTGGACTACCTGAAAGCTACAATCAAAAAAAAAAAGAATTTCAATACAAAAATATAAGAAATAATTAAAGAAAATTGTCCTGAAGCATTAGAACAAGAGGAGAAAGTAGAAATAGAAAAAATCCACCAATCACCACCTGAAAGAGATCCTATGAGGAAAACCTAAAGGAATATCATCGCCAAATTATGAAATCTCCAGCTCCAGCAGAAAATATTAGGAGCAATAAGAATAAAAACCCAACAATTTAAATATGGCAGTGCCAGAATTAGAATCACACAAGACCTAGTAGTGGTGACATTAGAAGACTTCAGGTCTTGGAACACTGTTATTGAAGAGCAAAAGAACTGGCATTGCAACCAAAAATATCATACCCAGCAAAGTTAAGTACAATCCTGAATGAAAAGAAAATGGACATTTAACAAATTGCCAGACTTTCAGGATTTTCTTGCAAAAAAACCCCCTGAACTTCATAGAAGATTTGACATATAAGATCCAAGAGAAATACAAGGTACACATCAAGGACTAATTACAAGTGTCTCAGTAAGGACAGACTGTTTACTTTTTATATGAAGAAATGTAAAATGTATGTCTAAGACTGTTATTAGTAATTGGATAGTTCAAAAGAAAGATTGGGGTGGATCTGAATATGATATGATTCTAAAAAGTAAAACCATTTAGGAAAAGGTAAAAAGAGTACTTATCTTGTACAAATGAGGTGCTAGAGGAAGAACTGATATAGAGGAATTAGATATGGGGAGGAGGGCTGGTAGTTCTGGAACTCTCATTAGGAATGGGCTAAAGAGTGAATAATATATATATATCTAGAATGGCATAAAAGTCTTCTTAATTCAGAAAGAAATAAAAAGCTAAGGGGATAGAGAGGGGAGACAGGATATTCAAGGTATTTTTAGAGGGGAGGGTGAGGAAATAGGATAAGGGTGGTGGTGATAATAGAAAAATGTTTAGATTAACTGTAATGGGAGGATAAGGGAAAGATCCCTGCAGGGAGGGTAGGTTAAGTAATAGGAGGGCAAAGTAACATGTAGAAGTAACATAGAGCAGTCAAGAGTGATAGGAAATAAGAGATACACGCAAACATAAAAAAAAGATCAGAAGTAGAATTTATTAGGGAAGAAAAGCAAGGGTAGTAATCATGATCTCAGACAAAGTTAAAGCTAAAATACATATAATCAAAAGAGAAAAATAGGGAAACTACACTATTTGTCAGCCATATTAATTAATATTATTTTAGACTATTTAAAAATACTTGACAGTATAAGGTTGGAATAGCGCTGTGGTGTAGGAAATGATGAGCTGGTGGACTTGGAAAAACATGGAAAGACTCAGAGTTATGAAGGAAGAGGTTATCCACCCTCAGAGAAATAAAGGACAGAGTACGATCTTACATAGATGCATATGAATGTATATGTCTATATGTGAATGATTATAGATATTTAAGTGTATGCATATTTATGTAAGTCTGTGTATGTGTATGTATATGTATATATCTGTATTATATGTATATATGTATTGTGTATATGTGTGGAAGTACATATGTATGCATATATGTGTGTATATATACATACATACATCTGTGTATGTGTGAATGTATGTGTGTCTATATACCTATATATGTATATGTGTGTGTGTATGTATGTATGTATGTATGTATGTATGTGTGTGTATATATATATATATATATATATATACATCCACGCTTAATTGTAGCCTGAAGAGTGGGGGAAGAGGAAGGTGGAAAAAAGAACAAAGTAAAAAGTGCACAGCAGAGAACCAAAAAAAACTTAAAAAGAAGATGGACAGCTCTAAACACAATGTATAGTATTTATTATATAGGCTTTCTTGAAATGGAAATTTATTATTGTGTATTTTGAATCTTCTCATGTTCTGCTGTGCACGTGGCAATGCTTTTTTTTCTTTTCTTATTTTGTATTCAAGTTTTAATATTTAAATTTATAATATTTATTTTTCTTTTCTTATTGTGTAAAGTTTAAAATTTTAAAAAAACTACAAAAAACCCCCCCCAAAACAAAAATGAGTCATTTTAGATTGATCATTCATCAACAAACATTTATTAAGTACCTACCATATAGAAGGCACAGAGCTAGCTACTGGGGCTACCAAGACAAAAAGAAAAAATGAGCATAAATTGCCTGGGTTATTCAGCTCTTTCTGTCTCTCTCTTCCTGTTTCTATCTCTGTCTCTCTCTCTCTGTCTCTCTGTCTCTCTCTCTCTCTCTCTCTCTCTCTCTCTCTCTCTCTCTTTTCTCTCTCTCTGTTTCTCTCTTTCTCTCTCTCTCTCACTCTTTCTCTCCATCCCTATTCATATGGGTGTATTGGAAAGGAGTTGCTTGTTATTCACTTTTTTATTATATTTAATTTAATGAAATTTAATTGGGATATTATATATACATATATGTATGTGTATATGTAGATAGCTAGCAAGCTAGCTAGACAAATAGTCTTACATTTGTGTTCAAAAACACAATACATGGCAGAGAAGGCATGATTAGATATGAAAGGAGAGGCTCAATGGATTGTTAATGTGATACAAATCAAATCATAATATGGTAGCCAAAATAAAAATAATTGCTAACATTTATATAGCACCTACTGTTTGCTAGACACTGTGCTAAACACTTAAATATTTCTTATTTGATCCTCACCACAACCCTGGGAGGTAGGTGCTATTATTATCCCCATTTTACAGATAAGGAAACTGAGGCAGATAGAAGTGAAGTGATTTGCACGGGCTCATACAGTTAGGAAGTATCTGAAGCCTGATTTGAAGTTAGGTCTTCCTGACTCTAAGCCTGACACTCTGTCTGTCCATTGTGCCACCTAGCTGAGCCTTTGCCCCTCCCCTCTAAAAAAATTAATGCAATCATTGCATTAATGACAGAAACAGTGTCCAGGACTAAAGAGATGCAAGTCCTCCTATATTCTGTTCTGTTTGTACCTCATTTAGATTATTGTGATAAGTTCTGTGAACCACATTTTCGAAGAACATTGATAAGCATGAGAGAAAATCAAAGCCCTGCATAACCTAGCCCTCTCCTACCTTACCAGTCTTTTTACACCTTACTCCCTGCCCCTACCCTTCAATCCAGTACCACTGGCCTCCTTGCTATTCCATGAACAAAACATTCCATTTCTAGGCTCTGAGCATTTTCTCTCGTTGTCCCGCATGCTTGGAAAGCTCTACCTCCTCACCTCTGCCTACTGATTCCCTGCCTTCCTTTAAGTTCCAACAAAAATCCCATCTTCT